GTGGGGAAGGGGAGAGCCCCGGGGAGGGGGGGGGGGGCCTCGATTGCTTCCAGCCTGCCACCACTCACTGAGAGCGAGTGAACAAGCTGTCTGGCTGGGTTTAAACCACGACAGGCTCACTTTGAAAAAAATCTTCCTCCAGTAGCTTCACTGGTCAGAAAACACTTCTGTGATCTCAGCCCTACTGCAATCTGACACCCTGTGTGTGACAAGTTTCAAACAACACCGTTATTAAACCAAACTTCTGCTTCATTTCCCCAACCTTGCTCTTACTTTTGCACCCCAGTTCATACAGCAAAGTAATAGGGACAGGGTTTTTTCTGCACTGGTAAGTTAATTTTCCCACACCTTTTCCAGCACATCATGCCTCAGATAAACCTCACCAGCTTCTCAGAAACTCAGAAGTCCTATGGTTTCACTAAGCTCTTGTGTTGTCAACCTACCACCTGGAGGAACTTCCCTAAAAGCCTTGCAATGAAAGTTATGGGTGACCCACAGCTACACAACGTTCCCTTTCAACAGCAACTCAGTCCCCAAATGCAGCTCATCCTCCTGACTTACTCATTACTCCCTCCATGACACCGCTTGAACAAGAAGCTGGGTTTGATCTGTTTATTCTTTGGAAAGTGAAGTTATTCTGCTGGACCTGGAATCTCTTGCAAAGGCATGATGCTGCTAGGAAGAACCAGCCTGCACGACATCAAATACACACATTTGCACAGAAGTTGTCATGCTTGCACACTTCAGCCTCGCTCCTGAAGCCTGATAGTGTTTCTGGTCATCCCTTTGTAAGAAGACATCATTCTACTGTTCAAAACCTTGAGATAGCAGCCAGGTAGGGTGGCATAAATCTGCTCCAAAAAGCTCATGAAGGTCTCACATTTTAAACTATTTTATCACCTCATAAACCTGCCCTATTCTTTAGCAATAGTTACCACACAGCCCCCTACCCAGAAGCCAGCTCAGACTAACACTGCAAAAACATCAGTGCTGCAGTTACTGTGCAATGCGTTATTTAAGTTAATATTATGGTGTAAGGCTGCAAAATGAACCATTTTCTGTGCCAGGGACGCAGCACAGTAACTTTTAAATAAAAGAGCTAAACCTAGCAAATGGAAAACCTTCCTCCAAACACTATTATTTCAGAACAGAAAGGTCACTCCACAACTGCCTCAACATATAAAAATACCCTGGTTGTTTAGAAATTGGCAGAAGACTCCTAACACAGTTTAATTTTGCAGGATGTCATCTCAAAAAGTGGTCTCTGTTGTAAAAAAAAAAAACCCACCTTACTGAAGAGGGGGCAGATGTCACTTTACTTCACAAGGCCACACAGTTACAACCAGAAGGCATAATGGGAGAGCACCCCTTATACTTGCTAACTTTAGCACAGAAGAGACAGGAGGGCTAGTTTCCCTCTGCTAACACCCTCACACATATTCTCCTGTCTCAGCCTGATAAGTCCTTTATTATTTTTATGAGTAATCTTCATTAGTATGTCTAATAATCATCACTTCAGGGCACTGCTTACCTGCAAAACATTGTTCAAGCAATTAAAACTAAGTATTGATAATTGATGGAAGGAAACAGGGCAGGCTAAGGAGCTACTCGCTATCTGACAACAGGCAGTGTGCACTGCTGGCTGCTGATGGCACTGATTCCCAGGACACGGTTGTCTACCCATAGTTCATACAGGGTTGTGTGCAGAGCAGATCCTCCCCTCCCCAACAGGCTCAGTGACAGGCTATGCTGAACACATCTTACCGCCTTACACTGTAAAAATAAATATATTAAACAGTTTTTCTTCATCAGAAATTGCTATTTCTGCTCAGAATTCCTAACTACTCTGTGCCAAGATCACTCCTAGTTTTCACTTACAATGTAGACATTACAATGGGATAAAAAATTTTCATCTTTTCATGAAAACCATGAATAGCAGTAAAATACTAGACCTCCTAGTTTGTACATGGAAAAAAAAAACTTCTTAGTTACATGAATTAAGGCTAGCAAAGACACTACTCAAACATTCCTCCTCCCAGAAATGCCTCAACACTGAAACAGTGACTGTGACAGCCGCGCACAGAGAGAGAGGAAAACTCCCTTGGGGCTAATTTGTACAATTGCTCATTACTGTACCTCTGATGCTGATTATGAATGTTTCTCTCTCAATTTAATATAAGCTGAAAGCGAACTAACTGTTCGCAACTTTTTTTTTCCTACCATCACAGAAATGATACAAAATCACGATAAAACCAGGGCTTCCCATCAGCTCTCTACCACCCATCAAGTACAGAATCGTACGTGCATCTGTCTTGTACAGGCACATACGCCAAGAAAATCCAAACTCAAACTCAGAATCAAATCTCAAACTTCCAGTGCATTTAACAGCACATTTATTGAGAGCGCAGCCCGGCAGAGCACCATCCCTCCCGCAAGTAACCCAAGTAATCCACCCCCACACCTCCTCCAATGTAGCCGTCAGAGCTGACTCCTGAGCACGCCGCTGGGGACCTGCCCGGGCCGGAAGGAGGAACCGCCGCAACGGTTCGCCCCACTCCCGCCAGGGGTGCAGGGCTCGACGACTTCCGGCAGGCGGCCCCATCCTGCTCTAAAGCTGCTACATGCCAGGTGGTGGAGGAAGCACGCAGCGGCAGGGATGCATCTCCTGCTCCCTCAGCACTGACCCATGCTATGGGAAGCTTACGGTTCCCTTCCTCCACCTAAGTGTGAGTGAACTTTCTCCAGGTTTTCTCCCACTGCACCCGGTGCTGACAGAGAAGGTCCATGCGGGCACAGTGTAGGCTCAAAAACCTTATATAAAAGAATCATGAAACTCCATGCTTGACACGCTTCCTGAATTAAAACACACAGGGATAGGACTGATATAAACTCAAGCATTAGCTTTTTAAAAGATGGATTAACAGGTTGTTAAGTATTTTGTGCATTTAAAGAGAGGAGATCACACAGAACCTTGAACATCCATGCCTGGCCAGTGCTTGTTGATACTTAATATTCTCCAGCGCTGAAGACAAAGACCATACAATGAAAACTAGGGGCCTGGAGACATACCCTTGCCATCAGCCGCACCCACCTGGGAGGTGTAGAAATAAGAATGAACATACTGTAATTGCACTTGCAATTGTTTCTCCAAGACAAAATTAAAGTTGTCCTTATAAACTTAATTCCACCCCTTATAGTGTATATTTAATTAACTTTAATCTCAAATAAGAACCACAGGATCCTTACCTGAGGAGCCTTAAGTAGATAAACTCTGAGGCAATCTGCTGAAAGGAAGCAGAATACAGAAGGTGGCATCTCCTGGAGGAAACACCAGCCAAGCTGAGCACTAACATACCCTGAACACATGCCAGATGTCCCGCCATCAGTGTTCACCCCCAGCAAGCAAGCCCATCGGGGCAGACATCCACTCTTCCCTACCTGGGCAGCATTGTCCCGCACAGCCCCAGCACTCCCCACACACAATAGTGTGACACAACATTTCACAGCTTCTGTGAGGCAAACCCCAGGCAAGGAGAGCCCACAAAGACCCTGAGGTACATTCATACTGCTCACTTTCACACCCTTCCTGTTCTCCCAGCTCCCCTGAAGTCCCCAAGGGTAACCTCGCCTGAAGCTTCTTCAGGAGCGAATCCTAGCTCACTCTCCTCTGCAACACCAGAGTTCAGGGCTCCCCCTTCCCAGGGCACTGCTCCCCACTCCGACCCTGCAGTGGTCGCTTGGCTCAACCACACCCTGCGGTGGAGGGTGCTTGTAAGATAAAAAGGTTAAAGCCTACTAACAGCAGAGCTCCTGAAAACCTCTGGAAACTTTTTCTGGATGTGAATCCTTTCTCCAAATGAATATGCAAAATGTGGAGAAGTATCAGAAGTGATCCCAACACAAGGAGCACCCACACATATCTGTGGTGTGTACAGTTCAAAACACAAGGCTCATCAGATTTAGAGGGGGGAGCATCTTACAGTTTAGACAGTGGTTTTTTCCCAGTTTTGTACTTAGAAATTATTTAATCATTTTGGTGAAATTCCCACCCATATCTACACCCCTTCCCTCCCTTGCACCACCCCCAATCCCAGGAGTCAGCCACAGCAGGCAGGCATCATGGAAAATTTCAAATTAAAAAAAAAAAAAAAAAATCAGCAAAATTTAAACAGCCAAAAATAGAGCTTTAAGACAAGAAGTGTACAGCAACCTTAACTACAGCAAAATCTACCACCTGCCTCTGTAATTTATGAACTAAAATGGCCTTTTAAAAATTAGCCATAGACTGGGGAAGACGATGACACTGAACTGCAACAAAACCCAAATACAGCTCAGTAGACTCATGTTCTCTTATTTCTTCTCCTCCTGAAACAGTGCTGCAGGAAGCGTAGACCATTTTTCAGTAAATGTTTCCCTAAACATCACTTTGTCTTTTTAGACCTGGGAAAGTTTTCCGAGCTTTAAACTGACTCTACAGAAAAGGGAAGACATACACAGAAAAAACTGACTGGATGATACATTTCAAGGGTCTTGTTTGGTTGGTTTTTATTTAGTTGGTTTGGGGGGGGGGGGGTGTTAAAAAAAAAAAAAGTAAGAAAAAAAAAGTAAGAAAGAAAGAAAAAACACAAGTATGGCAAGATCAGTTTCACATGATGAGCATAACACCAAAAAAAAAGCAGTCCATGTTCGCTCAAAACCAAACACGGGATCATTCCAGATTATTAAGATTTGCAAACATTTGACAAATATGGTCTGAACTTTAAGCTTCTGACTAAGCATAAAACCAGACATTCTTAACTTGTTTCCTCATAATGCTCTGATACATAATCCATAAATTCCTATGGATTCTCAGCTACGACCAAGTGGTAACATTCAGCGGTTTCAGTATCGCTGTTGGTACCTCAACCCCTAGCCTCCTGTTAGGCATTTTCTCCTGGTTTAACAAAAATAAATAAATAAAACCAGTTTAATTATAATTATTTCCCCTTTTACTAGTGCTTGGCAAATGTCCCATGGTTTAGAATTTTAATTGCTCTCTGTAGAATCCCTGTGTGCCTTTAAATCTGCAAATTAGGTTACAAGCCTAGAAAAAACACTCATGAAGTTTCCAAAAGATGGAATTTCATGCAGGAATATTACAATGAGTAAGGACCAACTACACTGCAAAATCCTGACTGCAGAGAGATTATAAATTTAAGACATAGGGGGGAATAGAATTTCAGACTTTTAAAAAATAAAAGCAAAGAAGCTACTACTGTGATGTCACACACCCACAGCTCCTGGTCAGGAATCTGAGACTAACCTGATGAAGCTTTAGGAACTACATGAAAAGTCCCTGTGCTGGGGCTTACAAACCACCCATGTCTTATCACCGTTACATCTGTGAACACATGATAAACACCCAAACCTTCAGGCTTGAGGTTAGCAGAAAGGAGTGAAACCTGCACTACCTTCTGGTCTGCTTGATATCAGTCAACCATTCCCATCAGCTCTCCGATGTGGACAGGTCAAGCAATTCTGACCACTTTCTCTCCACAAAAACATATTCTGACTCATAATAACCCATGCTATAACAATACATGCTACCAGCCACGTTACCATGCATAATCCAGCTCTTTCATAGCCACCTTCCTCCCCATCAATCCCCACTCCATCTTGCACAGCACTGCATGCCCAAGGAGCAGCTCCCAGCTGCAGGACACAGGTAGAGTATGAAGCAGGCACTGCCCTCAGCATGCCTCCCACCCCACCACCACCTCCTTCTTGAGAAACAGGAAAAGCGGTCTCTCTGGGCTGTTCCGTGAACACTCACATTTTTCTGACACGCCTCTTTTAGGTAACTTCCACATTATTTGAATGCTGATTTTAACTGCGTCAATCAGCACATTTAGAAACCACAGGCACATCTTAAAAAACACCAGACACAGCCAGAGGAAAAGATTAACACTGTACTGGACTGCAAGAGCAGTCTCCAAGTGACATCAGACCTTTGCAGGCTAATGCTCAGAAGACCCCAGAGACTGCTAAGACAGGTATGTGCTTTTAGTCTTTGTTCCAGCCTTCCTAGATCTGCATAAATACACAGCCTGAAATACTAACTATGACAACTGTGTAGAGTCAGGCTCAGGTATTTAGCAAGACAGCCCATGCTTTGCCTGTAGTCAGTGTCACTTGGCTACGCTCCCACTCTACCCTCAGAGGCCCCAGTTCCAGCAGGATTTCAGAGCTCAGTTTGCTGGGCTGCCTCTTCACCCCATGAAGGTCGAGCAGGGCTGCACTGTGCCACAGTGCAGGAAGCTCCCACTGCCTTGGACAGCAGCAGCTAGACCCCAGCATCAGCAGCGCTGCCTGCTCCTCACCTACACTGCACAGACCCAGGCTTAATTCAACTCTTGCATGTTTTCAGGGCAACAGAGACAACCTGTGGAAAGCCATCTGCAAGAAACAAACTAACTGTTTTGTCTCCCATTTTACAGTACTGGAGTATCTGCAATCATTTTGGTTTACAAATCATTCACATCTGGATATGTATTTTATAGCAGAAAATAAATGTGCATATGTAGTTCTCTTATATTGTGTACTAAAATTAGGAACAATATAATGAAATAAAAAACTGTTGCAGCCTGATGCTATGCAAGACATAAATGCACTGGTTTTCATTACAAGAAATTCTAATGAATGCACCATGCCTCCTTTTTCACAGACATTCCACACAGCAGCCTGACAGTGTAGCAAACAAAAAAAAAAAAAAAAACGCTCAGTCATAGAGTGGTATATTTAATAAAATAGGACCAAAATTTTTTACTTTTCTTCCCTATAATTTCAAGTGAAGCCTAAAAAGGAGGTAAGCAAAATTATTTAATAGCTGCTTCTTTCAAAAAGTGCTATTTTTTAAAGACTTCCTAAAAATAAGCAATTAATTTATCCTCCGTTCAAATAGGAGGAGAGTGCAATTTGAAAAATTTAGGACTGATTAGAACTATTTGCTCATCTATCTGACGTATCCATATATTGGCTTGACAGTGCATTAACTTAGAAACTCCTAGTACTTTTTTATAGGACAAGACTGCTACAAATCTTACCCTTTTTTAAGCCTAGTTTTAACTGTTCAAAAGTTCTTCAGTTTTAGTATGACCATTATTAACCAGTTGCTTAATTTTAAACAGATTCAAGCTTTTATTTTGGTGGTTTGGTTGGAGGAGGGGAGGAAGGAGGGCACTGTTGAACCAAACATACTGAACTAAACACCCACTCAGAAAGACTACTTTAGTAGTTTGTATGCTTTTATGAACAAAGCCTAACATGTTTCTAAACTTTTCAAGAACAAAACCCTCTTGAATATCTGTGAAGCAGCATGAAGAGAGAGAAAAATATTTCTTCCAAATTGCATTTTTTCCATTAATCATACAATATTCCCACTCTCAGGAAAAGTTGATGTCACTGACATTGTCTTGGTTCTCTTTGCAGGTTCTTGAGATCCTCTAGCAGCAAAACCAACTCGCACAAGTTTACAATGTCAAGCAATGTTTCACAATGCCACGTTGTTGAAGAAATGGAACCTTTTACCTATTTTTACTACTTGATTTTTCTCATGGGATTTATTGGAAGCTGTTTTGCACTATGGGCATTCACACAAAGAGATCAGAAACAGAAGTGTATGAGCATCTACTTAATTAACCTCTTAACAGCAGATTTTTTGTTGACTTTGGCACTGCCAGTAAAGATTATTGTTGACCTAGGAGTTGCGTCCTGGAAACTGAGAATATTCCACTGTCAAGTTACAGCATGTTTCATCTACCTGAACATGTATTTATCTATTATATTTCTGGGATTTGTAAGCATGGACCGTTGTCTTCAGCTAATGCACAGTTGTAAGACATACCGCATTCAGGAGCCTGGATTTGCCAAGATGTTGTCTGCAGTCATATGGACAATGGTTCTCCTTATAACAGTACCTAACATGGCTATTCCAATAAAAACCATTGAAGAACAACCTGGTGCAGGATGCATTGATTTTAAAACAAAATTTGGAAGAGACTGGCACGTGTTTACTAATTTCATATGCACAGCAATATTCCTGAATTTTTCAGCTGTGATACTGATTTCCAATTTCCTTGTTGTTCGACAGCTCTACCAGAACAAATACAGTGAGAGTTATGCAAACGTGAAGAAAGCCCTCATAAACATACTCCTGGTAACTGCAAGCTACCTGCTATGTTTTGTGCCATACCACATTGTTCGTATCCCCTATACTTTGAGCCAAAGTGATACCAATACCAGCTGCTCTCTGAAACAAGCTCTCTTTAAAGCTAAAGAATCTACCTTGCTGTTTGCCATATCACACCTCTGTTTTGACCCTATTCTGTATTACCATCTTTCCAAATCGTTCAGACTGAAATTCACTGAAACTTTTGGCACAACTAAAGAGACACAGGTTTTCACAGACAAAGAGGTACAACACAGAAGTGAGCAGCAGATGCAAAAGTACCAATTTTAAAATACATCAGAGGAGTGTTCAGATCTACAGTACAAACAGCCGAGGTGCAATTGCAAGCATGGTTACCATGGGAAATGACTTTCCTGCTGAAACATGAGCCCAAGCAGAAGGAAAAAACTTGAACCATACCTACCACTTTGTTATACATTCACACAGCAGGTCTGGACTAACAGAACCTTAATAAAGCCCTTCAGAAACAGTTCAAAATGCCAGTGATGCCCTTCCAGGGATCAGCAACACTTAAGAACGCAAGAAATCAGACAAATTCAAACGTACCTTGTAATTATTTGTGGTAAACACCTGAGCTCACCTTTTCTAAGTTAAGTATTGTATAGTTACTATATTAACCAACTTGGTGCAATCGAATGAAGAAAGTAATTTAAAGCAGTTCTTCAGCTGCAAAGTTTTCATATATACACTTAACCCAAAAGCATTTTAAAGGGCATTATTTACTCCAGAAAGTGATTTTAAGCTGCATTGACTGAAAGTTGTTGTATCTGCTTATGTCATACCTGCAGTTTTTATAAATAAATTTCTTATTGCCAAGTTGCATTGCCTTTCCTTGCTGCTGCTTCAATGAATATGAAGAAAGCAAACAACATGTTACTACAGAAAAGTCAAGGAAATTTTAAAAATTAATACAAAAAGTATAAATAGCCAGTATATTCTCTCTCCTTGTTTTTTTATAAAAACAGAAGAAACGGCAACTAAGTTTATTAATATTCTAATTGACAATTACTTCCAATAATAATGCCTATACAGAATAAACAAAATTTTAAAATCCATTTGCATAGGTAAAATCCAGCTACCTGGATTAGCTTCATGCATAAATCAAAAATATTTCAGGAACAAACCCAAACCAAGTTATCTTTTTCCTAATCCTTAAAATGGGCAAAATATGAATCAAACTTTAAGCAAGCACCCAAACTCTCCTGAACAGAAACAGCTCATTCAACATTCTACCAACAATTCACATGCAATAAATCAAAACCCAAACTTTGTGGAGTAAGAAATTTAATGCAAACAAAACTGCGGTTATCACATTGTACTCTCACATGACACTTCCCATATTAAAAAGGATTTAATATTGTTAAAAAGTTATTATTGTTGTTAAAAATAATAATCATAAATAATAATGATGATGATAATAATAACAACAACAATAATAATTCTCAAGTAGCTACATTCCAGGTCAGGTCTTGTTCAGTATGTGGGCCCTCTTTCCTGCATGGTGGAAAACATGAGAAGCCATCTGACTGACGATTTGGGATCTGGAATGTTATTCATGGGGTTTTCTTCAGTTCCCATGAGCCTACAGACAAACACCACAGCAGCAGCCAAAAATCCATGCTAGAAACAGCACAGAGTGGGTGGAATAACACTGTTCTGTCCTGTATATTTCAGAACTGGTTTTTTCCAGCTATTTTGCTATTCACCCATCAGTCCAACTACAATATTAATTTTTCTGTTTAGCAAACTTTTATTGCATCCCAGAACATGGCATTTTTATTGTGTTGCTGGTCTCCTTAACCCAAGTAAGTCATCACACAGTATTATACCTCTTGTGTGCTCATCCAGCTAACCTTTTGGTAAACCACACACATGTGCTTCACTGAAGCTATCCCACAGTGCACAGCATGTGCACGCTAGCAGTAATAGCATCACACAAGCTGGTCAGGAGCCCTTGAGCAGGGACCACACATCCCAGCTCTCTTCAGTCAGTGAGCTTTTCTTTCTTTGAATGCTTTGCTGTCACACTAGGCACTACCATTACACACACAAGTACACAGATAACTCACCAGAGGTATAGGGAAATGTGTTGCATATTGCAAATGCCGAAGGAGGTCATAATTGGATGGGAAAATGAGTTCTCTCAGCCTTTCTCTCTTGACTGATTTCTCGCTGGTAACTGAAATTCTTCTGTCTAAGGAAGAGTTCACATTCTCACAAGACTCCCCAGGCATTGGAGAAAAAATCTAAGTCATGTAAAACAAATGTTTAAGGTAAGTGTAACCTCTAGCTTTCAAAATTAAGCAACTGCATTCAGAGATAGATACAATTCTGTTCTTGCTTACAATCACTTTTTAAACATCTGAGGTTTTTCAAGGATAGACAAAACAAGGGGCAATCGTAATCAAGCCTGAAATTGATGATACATATACACATTACATCTCTCTGCGTATCTCCATTGTTATTAGAAGAGTTTTAAACTAATGATACTCAGGGAAAAAAGCATAACAATTCATAGCAATCTCCACATCTCTCGTGCTGCTGTGACACAGAAACAGCGATGATCTATTCCAGTGGCTGAAGGAAAAAAATGAAAAAGGATGAAGTGGAAGGTGACATAACACACTGTCAGCAGGCATATGTTTTATGATATGCTTTAAAGCACTGCTATGACAAATACAGGGGTCCCAATATCCTGCAAGTGGATTGCACTGAAAGGTCTGGGCACAGGAGTCCATGCAGATGCAGAATGAGGACCAGTCCAAAGGAAGAAACTAGGAGATTCAAAAGTAATGCAGAATCGGGCTATCAGTGAGGAAAAAGAAAGGGGAGACAGAGACAAAACATAGAACTATCACTTGAAAAGCAAACGGTATCAATGGAGCTTCTCAATGTCACAGAAGTGGGTAGCTTTGCATATTTATTCATGTTTAACAATAATACACAGCACTTTGAACATGCTGAGGGTAAAGGAAAGAAGGGAAGGAGTACGTTGTGCACATATGCGTGCAGGTGGACAACTAGGGGAAGCACAGGAGAGCAGTAAGTTGTCGTACAGCAGAGATGAGAGAAAGGAGGCAATGCACCAACACAGAAGACAGAAGAGACTGCATGCTGAAAGATATGGTTGTCAATGGAGCCACCAGGCAGTACTAGGGGCATGGCAAGACATTCAGTGGCAACAGCAAGCAGCAGGCACAGGCAAAGGCATGCAGAAAAAAAGAAGTTAAACCTACTGGAAATTCCGAACCAAAATCTGCCTTAAAGTCACTCTTGTCTACATCATCAAAAATACTAGCGGTTCCTGAATCAATGCCCATATGTTCCATAATACTATGATCCTAGTAATTGCCAGAGAGAAAAATAAGTATCAGTCACATTTTATTGAAGACCCTTTTAACTGATGTCAGGTAAACTCAAGCACTCCACCTATTTAAGAATTAAGAAAAAAGCATTAATGGCAAGAAGGTTTCAGACACTGACTTTTAAATCTTTATGACAAGCCTTAATTCACAGAAGTATTTCTCTACCGAAATCCACAAAAGCATAGAATATGGCATGAGTCAAAGGGGGAAACAAAACTTTACAGGACATCCCCATGAGCAATTCTGTCCTACAGAACAGGAGGCTGACTCTTGTACCCTCCCAAGATTTACTTCCTGCTTTGCTGTACCACAAAAAGCAACTTGTAGAAACTCCCTATATTTCAGGGCAAATTTGGTCATGACAGTGATGTAAGAAATATACAAAAGAAATTAAAAAGACATGTAAAAGGATGCTTTTGCTTCCTCCAGGCCCCACATGGACTGTGCAGCAGAACAGCAGGCTGCATCTCATCACATGAGAACAAACATGGTTTGTAGCCCAAGTTTAAAATTGCCTTCCTCTTGCAGTAGTCTTAGAAAAGGTTACAAACTGCTCATCTGATGGAAGACTCAGGATTGCCCCTGAACAGCACACATACAAGTCAGGAGGTCTGGCTTCCCAGTCTTCAGTTAGTGGCTGTGTGGCACACAGTAACTCCTGATCACCTGTGAGCAGACTACAAGGCTGTGCATCACTCATGCCTGTACTGTGCCAGCACACCCCACACTACACAGAGGATGCGGGCTTACCCCATGCTCCTCACAGACTCCTCCTGCTTAAAGCTCTCCCTTCTCTGCATTGAAGCATATCTGCAGATGAAGTCTACATTGTGCCTTTTTGTTTGTCCCAAGTTATTCAGATCATTAGACAACTCTCAGTTCAGTGTATTTGCACCACAACAGTAATATTTACAGATATATGCAAGAATTAAGACAATAGATCACTCTTCTCAAAGAGAGAGAAAGAGACAAGGAGACACAGATTAAAAAAATTAGTATCTCATACCTGAAATACTAATGATTCAGTGAAAATCTAAGTTTAAGGAAACAGTATCAAACATGGGAGAAAGAGCATGAACTGTTACCTCCAGTTTCACATCATGATCCTTAGAATAGTGTTCATCCACAGTTTCCCCATTTGGTGAACGTGGTCTAGTAGTTGCAGTGATTGACAAGTCTCCACGTGATATTAAAGTGCACATGTAAGCATCATGGGAGAAAACATCATGACGAGTGAATTCAGAAAAAAGCAGCACCAAATTCACAAACTCTGTCTTCTCATGGTCACTATTTGGGTCAGCTACCCAAAAAAAAGAAAAAAAGTTAGACCATAGTTTCAACTTACAAATATTTGGGTTCCAACTATGCAAATTGCAAACCCCTACAAATCGATTTTAAGGCCTGCTAAAAATGTAAGTCTCAGGCATCCTGCAGAGGTTTCTTTGTCTCCACTGAATAAACCATCTCCTAACTTGCATGGTTTTGCTTTGCTATCAGTTCCAGAAAAGGGGCAGACTTCAGGCAGCAGTAGATTCCAGAGCATCCTATCCCACGGACATCTTGGGAGGGGGGAGGGTGTATCAGCAGTTAGGGATAATGTTCAAATACTTCTAAAAATTAAAAAGAGGGAGAGGACATTCCTTATGTGAAGAAAAATTGAATCTGAAGCCTTGAATTATAACAGACTACCTAACAGTTATCCTTTCCTCCCAAATTATATTACTATAGCAAGTGCGACTGTTTTATCTATAGTACTTTTGTATTCATAACAGAAAACCTTTAAGAATATTTTCAGAGAACTCAAGACTTCCGCATGCCAGGCCTCCGAGATTTAAAAGCAGTATTTTATTAATGCTTGAAAGCATAGTGTATTTTATCTAATAAACATACTCATGCAAATCAGGAAAAAGTTCATTAAAATAAATGCATGTTATTTTGACAGTGCCAAAGCAAACCTAGAGAAACACAATATACAAGATTTTGTTACTAAGTTTTCATTTCTCATGGCTATATTTAATTTCACTTGTTCTGTAACACAGAAGGGTTTCAACACTGCAGTTAACAGCAAATAGCTTTATACCACACCAGCTCTATTGGGCAACAAAAACTCCAGCTACAGAACTACCAAATCCAAATAATCAATATTTATTTAAAAGCAAATTATGCTTTACAAGTCTGAATTAGTTCAATATATAACACTATTTTTATTTAGAAACTCTCATCACAGTGCAGCACAGAAGCTGCAGCAGTAAGCCCAAGAGCACACTGAGCCAGGGTCAGAACTCTCCTCTGTGGCGTACAGGTCCCACTCCTCCAAAGCTGCCCACCATGATACACCCCCAAAAGTAAGGTGTGTGGCATGGAGAAGCATTGTAAAACACAAACCTGCAGAACAGGCCACCTGCTCTCCTTCAAAATACAGCAGTCACATGCTTTTCATTTGTAGAGACACAG